CAGCGACGCGTCTTCTTAATTAAAGGAACGGTAATTGCTGTCTTTTGTAACCGAAACAATCGCGATTCTGTGAGCTGAAACTTCCAAGATGTTTCGTAGCGTGTAATCGAATTTTTATCCGAAATGAAAGGATTACCGAAGGAGGATTCTCGCGATTGGGAGTAATTGATTAGAGCAAAGTCTAATCAGAAACCGTGGTTCTACTGGGCGCTCGTTTGCGTCTGTTTCCATAGTTTAGTACGCCTGCATGCGTCTACGAAACAAGAACGAGGGAAACTCGAGGAAGGAGCACGTCCCAGCAACATTTCACCGAGATAAACAGTTTCTCCGCAGAAATTACGATCGCTTGGAAAAAAAGAAATCATTAATTATGCAGATTCGACGGGGCGAGTAAGCGTTTTAACAGCGTCGCTCGCGAATACACTCCGTCCACCATGGCTCTTTCATTATTCCAACCGCGCTAACGAACGACGAGGATTAACGAGCGGTGGACAAACAGATCGGAGAAACGGGACGATCGTTGTTGAACAACCGAGCTTCGCGACGAACAACGTTTCTACGTATATGTACGTACGAGAAATTCGTAATTCGCGCGATGATTGCGGAGCGCGGTTTCACGGAGCAAATCGTTCAAAATTATTGCCAGCTGGACGAATGATTTTCAGAGTGTACCATGGCTGCTCGTCGGCAGTTTCAATATATTTCTCGGGATTACAAACACTCCGAGGGACTCATCAATTTTGCATTATCTCGCCGAGTGTATCCCTGAGCAAGCTATTAGAGGACTGATCGATTGCCACGGATAATCCACGTTACTCGCTCCGGGCTGATGTACATATAGCGTTTTCCAGCCATCAGGTGACACGGAAATCGGTTTCGTTCGCGTGATTCCGGTAGCAGGTGTGTACATACGTCTCTATAAAAAGCAGCAAGAACAGAGCTTTAACGACTTCATTGCGATGGTTTTTTTAAAGTAATTGATTCGAATAACCGAAGAAAATTCCATCATTGATTTCTTCGTAGGTGAGATTGGCGAAAATTTATTCGTATTAAAAAACGCGTTTTATGATTCATAGGTAAGCTAGTTAAGAAAGAGAGAATCTCAAAGCAACGATTCCGCCTTGGGCCAGGAGCAAGGCGATGAGGCGGCTACGCTTAATTAACCCTTTTATAAATATCCTTACAAGGCGTCCCTAATTTTCCCGTAGCAGCATCGAGGGAAGGAGTCGCCCTTCGTGCTTCCCTTTCAAGCTTCTCGTTCGTTCGAGCAAACACAGAACATTACGGCAAGTGGATCGCGTTAATTATCCATACCGCGAACTTTCTTTCTCGAATTAGCTCGTCCAACGGCCGATGTTCTCTTTCGCTCGATGCCGCCTCTGAAACGCCTCTGAAACGTGGTCGTGAGTGGTTGTGGTCGTGAAAAACGAGGATCAAACGAGAGGAACGAGATGTGTTCGAGATGAAAGCCGGAAGAAGCAAAAGCGTGAAGTCTGCTTGTAATTTCCCGTAATCGACTCATCCGAACGCTCATTTAAATCTCTGAATAAGATCTCGCGGTGTTTCTTTTTAAAGAGAAAGCAACCTGAAGTAAGATATCTCGCATCAAATATAATCAAATCAGATTTAGAATTTACTGGCCACTGAATTTATTACCAATTACATTCATTATCCCGGCACTTTTCAGCTTCTAAAGGAAAATTTCACGCACGATCGAGGAATTCCTGTTCCCAACGATCGATTGCTACCGTCGGTCCGCGCCGCGAATGATATCGATCGTCCGGTTGCACGGGTGCTAAGCGCTAATTTGCCGATACCTCGTACATTGCGACATTTTGTATCAACAGATACGACGTTTTTCCTCGCGGATAATAAAAGTGGGAAAATACATTCGCGACAGTAGTTCCGTCACTTTCTTGCACCCGTTTCTCGTCTCGCATGGAAACCGCTGGTACACGCGTACGTTACGTAAAAACCGTTTGGCGCCGACTCGTTAATACGCGTGTCTTACAATCTGTAACTTTCAGTGGACCGACAAAACTCATTAATAATGCCCACTTAACTAATTTCCCGTCACGGCTCGACGCACCCGCGACCCGATACGCGTATCAATCGACGACGATCTCGTAACCGCTCGAACCACTCAACTTTTTCCCCTTTTATCGGCCACCAGCTTCGAAAAATTTTCCTCCCGCATACTTCTCCGACTCCCCTTTTCTCTGCCTCGTTTCGTACGGGAGCACTTTTACATTTCATTTGGAAATTAGTTAAATTGGGATTTAAACAATTATGTAGCACATCTAATTACAGACTACCTAGGTATTTCGATTGGTATACTTAAAGACAGATAATCTGGTAAACGACCAATAGAAAGACTACTTTAATTTCCACGCATTTACTCTGAATGGTATCGTTAATTAACCAGAGATACCCCGTGTACCTCTAATTCGAACTCCATCGAACGACAGGGTCCAAGAGTACGCCCACTGGCCGCTGCTAATTGCCGCGTCAATTACGCGCGAATTAATTGCCGTGAATATATGGAACACGGTCGCGAGTTTTCACCGTTCGATAAATCGTTCGCGAATTCCTGCCGACCGATCCGGCTCGTTGATCTTCGTCATCCGTCACGCGATTCCTTCGTGGCCGCGTTTGATCGCGTTTCAAAGCGTCGCGACGCTTTAATAAACGAAAGGCAAACGTTATTCCCGGCTTCGTTCAAACGACGCTGTTCGAGAGAACGAGCAGCCGTTTCGTTCGTTTCCAGCCTTCTCTTTCTTTCCCCGGGGAAAACGACGTCTTCGACCCCCTAATCGCGTCGTGAAACTTTAGCGAGGACGGAGTGCACGTTTAATGAACGAGAAGTGGATATTTAGCGTACTTTGAAACATCGGTAATATAGAATAAACCTCGAAATCTCATCTTTATTCGTAACACGCTCTTAACGCGATCGGTTATTTCTATGTCCACCTCTTATCCTCTCCTCGTCCATTCGCATTTCCGTCAGGGAACGCTCGTTACCGAAAACAATTGTCCCGACGAGCAAGCTCCTTGCTCTGCAACCAGCAGAACCGTCGCGGACAATACAAAAGCTGAACTGTCGTGAACTTTGCCCCGCAGAGATTCCATGTCATTGCGTTGCGCTCACCGCTACGAGCCGAAGCAGCCGCACAAAATTGTGTTTTAACGATGCGAAATGCGGCCGGTGACGCGAGTCATTTGCTGACACGCGAATACACTCTCCGCGCCCAGTCATTCCGACCGGATGTAGGTGGTATGTCCGTGAAAAGTGACGCCGAGGGTGGCTACCATTTTCTGTCTTTGTGGCATTGTCCACTTGCACCAGGGGCTTTGAACGAGTTTGTTAATGGCAAATTTCGAGGTTTGTCTGTTTCCACCGATGCTGTACACCCGCCACCGTTATCGTACAAGGAATATAATCAAAATATAATAACCAACAGAGATAGTTTAAAATTTACAAACTGAAAAAACGATGAAGAATCGAAAAATGAAATTTAAATCGTCGCTGTTAGGTATTTGCTATCTGAACGTTGAAATATAGAATACGTTATTCATTATGCTGAACCCTTCAGCATGTAATGATTTAATCACAGGTTGGAAGATTTTTTAATGCACGTTCGCGTCGTTTATTATGGGTATGGATAATTGAGATACTTGTGCCGAGTCGTTCAAGGTTTCGGTCTTTGTTTGATAAGTACCTAGGTAGACGAGACGTATCATCATGTGATAATGTAACGTTGATGGTAAATGATTATACGGGAGAACCGTGCTTAAGATGTAAAATGAGACGTTTTAATGATATACTTTCGAATGTAAATGACTTTTGGTGAAAGAACGTTTTCGCATGTGCGTAAGATTTCCGTGGAAAACTAAGGAAACGTTAATTAGCGCAAAACAGGGACGAACAACAAGATAATATTGCGAATAGAGTTATACAGCTTGTTAGTGGAATTAACGGATAACAAGCAGCTACGCTTATTACGTTACGCTAATTGATTGCGCGTTACGTTTTTATCAACGGGATAAGCTGAAAAAATGAATAACTGAATATCAATCGGTGTTGGAATTGCATCGATGCATTCGATATAAGCGCTTTAACCGTTATTGATCTGTTATTTAATTTAAATAATCAATCGGTTCTGAACAATCACGGCAGCAAGATTTCGTTTCATCGTATTATGTATTTGTTTGAAAAAAAAAAAGAAAAAGCGTTTTGACTTCGGTAATTGGCAAATATACAATGCGTCACGTAACAATAATTTTTAATTACAACCTCGCATCGACGTTGGCTGCGAGGATTGATATTAATTCCCCAACACCCGTGGTCCGCGTAATAAAAGCATGCTAATGGAGCGTGTTTTATGCAGTCGGTGTGTCACGGCCAAATAAACAACAGGCCCATAAAAATCGGCCCCACCACTTGGGACATATTCATACGCGTCCTTTGATCCCTGGCATCGGCAAAATGCCAACTTCCACATATCCGTGATCAAGGTACGAATCGCGTTCGAGGCAAAAGAGTTAACATTCGCAACCGGAAACACGTGTCGCTGCTCGCGTAAAGGCCCGATCGTAAATGAAGGCTTTCCCTTTGCTTGCATTTAGCCTTGCTCGCCCTTCCCTTTGAGGCTAACAACTTACGAAAGTAAGGAATTCAAATTGCAACCTAGCCGAAAGTACCGCTATAAATATTCGGGCAATTAATATGTAATTAAGCTTCTATTCTCTTCGTTACTTAACTCTGAAATTTCGACTGAACTCAATTGAACCGTTTGATTCCAAGATTAATGAAATTCAACTAAACTTCGTGAAACTTTGCGGAGCTATTAATATACCAAAGTTCCTCATTCTACTACATTTAAAGCTATTATACACGCATCGTTAAGCGTATTGGAAGATAAATGCGCCCATTATGGGTCACCTGTGCTTCGCTTGTTTTTCCACGAAATGTTTCTAGCAGATCATATAAAATCACTTACCCTAGTTAGCAGTGGAGAATTGTTCGATGAATCGATTAAATTTCATAGTGGATGGGACGTAACGAGTTGGTTCGACGAGCAGTAGGAGAATCAAGAGCGTGCGACGAGCGAGCATAATTTAAATCGCGATGACTAGAAAACGTCGAGGTACAATGGGCTGCTTCCAACGAACGGACGTTCCTCCTTCGTCAATGGGCGGCTGAAACAGAAGAATGGTTTTATAATTACATCTGTGCGGGGAAGAATAGTAAATGCTTCTATTCATTAGAGTCCTTTGAAGAGACGACTTTTGAGAGAACTGACGGAAGCCACGAGAGGGCCGACTCTTCAATCAACAAAAACCCTTTTGTGTCTTCCCGTGGAACAATTGCAAAGCAAAGTTCTCAAGTTTATACGACGACATTTTAAATCCGATCGGCAGCGTTGCGTGTACAACAAATTCCTCGTAGTCGTGCAGGGGAACGATACGGCTTATTGTCACCCGCTCGACACAATCGCTTTTCCGATTCAATAGATATTTTTTTCTTCTTTTTGTTCTCTTTTCGCGAGAAAGAACGAGACGAAACGAATCAACCTTCCGTTTCATTCATCGCGAATTGCTTGCAGAAAATCTGTTTGCATTTATTTATTTATTTATATAACAATGGAAAAAGGAAATCTGTTTGGAAATAATAATTTGTAGTGATCTGTCAATTGAATTCTATAATTCATGAAAAACTTGTGAACATTTTCCGCTGTTCGTGCAATAACCACGTCTCCCACGAATCCTCGGACGCCTCATCGATTCCTGTTCCTTCAACTTCTCCGAGCAACGATTCCCCGAACTACGTCTTTGACGACTACCGTGTGCTGCTCGTTCGTCATCATTCTGACGGCTGAAAGTTGTCGAAGGAAGACTGGAAAAAGATGAGGAAGCAAGAAAGTACTAGCAAGTTAGGCGATAAGGCTACCTGAACGGACCCGTGTCTTAGACACGAAGACATTTGCTTTTCGAACGAAGCCACCATTCGGAAGAAACGATGACTAAGCGAAAACTCGCGGGAACAGGCTGATGGAAAAACCCATGAGATCGTTAAAACACCTTCCAACATCTACTGTCTGTTAGGAATCCTTACTGACAACCACTCCCCTCGTGTGCTCCCTTTTTCTTCATAGCCTTCAGACTCTAAAGATTTGCTAGTTAACAAGCTACAGTTACGTTGGCATCATTATAGAAATATTTTCATGAGCAATGCTTGTTTTAATTATGCTGTGGTAGATAAATAAGAACACTGCAGTGAAATTAATTTTGACGATCATTGCTACTTCATTCGGTAAGAGTTTCTTTTAGCAGCCCTCTCCAATTGACTCAAGAATTACCAGGCAAACTTCTCATAAGTTGTAATTCAGAAAAATATTAATGTAGAGGCGTGGAAATTTTTTTGGAGACAATTTTTCTTTTGATTTTACAGAATGAATTTTATTACAGGAGTAAAAATGAGCAAAAGAAACTACAAAAACTTCCAAAAATAACCTAACCTAAACCTAACACCTAACAGGATTTACTGGATATTTTTGTTATTGATTATGATGAGGGAGAGAACAAGAAACACGAGATGATATTGGTTCGTACAGTTGCAATTGAGAAAACAAATGAGATGGTGGCCGAAAAGTGAACTGTCCACATAAATCACGACGGTGAACTGGTGTGATTGATTAGATGAATTTGAAATCTCGTTTAGAAGAGTAAGATGGTGGTGATGAAAATGGCCGCAATTTTTCATGAACCAAGAATTTCCGGGCCACATGACTTACCCATGTGACTCTATCATGCATGAGAAATTTGCCTAGGAATTTTAAAGTCAATTGAAAGGGGTTGCTAAAAGGAACTTCACCCCTTCATTCTCCTCCATCATCATTATCCAACATTTTCTCTCGAATGAAAATAAAAATGGGCATTTAGTTGATCGGATTTTCAGCCTCAATCAACTGTACCAAGGCGGCAGGAAGAGGTCTCGTGCAAACACAATTAACATGATACACCGACAAACGGGAGCAATTGCATATGCAAGGAGTAGGCCGAGCCAATAACCACGGGTGTTCATGAGCGTCAATACTGTGTGTTAATCAATCATCGATATGTTTGCCAGTCTCCTGTGAAGACGGACCGCTCTGTTTATTTTGCATCTGTGCTTTGAGTCGGCCTCGACTCCCCTTTACCACGAATTCCCATTTCTATTAGCAGGCCCACAGTTCGTGGCTTCCATTCCAGACGCCCCGTTCAATCGAAACCGCGTCGAACGTCGTTTCCTCCGCGTCTACGACGAGTAGAATTCCGTGTACCAAGGAGGAGCACCCTCGACTACACCGTTTCCCGAATTTACTCCCGCCACCATTCGACGACCATTCGAGCTAGCCGACTCGATTCGAATCCGTCGATTCGCTGCAGGAGTATTCGAGCTACTTCTCCGGAACGTCTAAGTACTAGACCCTGTCTAGGGTATTCAAAGGCCAACCTGGAGCGTTCGCGTCAACGAGCTTGCCGACCAGGACACCTCCAGCTCGCTATGGAGGAACTATCGACCGTATAACCGTTCGAAATTCGAGACCAAGACACCGGACAATATTTCGTCGACCGAACGATCGATTCGCTTCGATTCAACAGGGTTACACGGTCAGAAGTGTGGAACCAAGTTGAATCCACGCTATGCTCGCTTACTTAACCAGCGATAGCCTTTGAGCTTCAATTATTCGACGACAGGTTCTAGCTCCGGGGTAAAATCGTTTCATCTCGCCCTTTCTATGTTTCCTTCGACTCCCTGCTTCGCGTCGAGACACCGTAAAACCGCGCCAATTACACGCCCGCGTTTCCGTTGTCCCCTTGTTCGGCCCGGCCAGCCGAACCGTGCAAATTGTATCCCGTGTGTCACCGATTCGGCCAATTAACGAGCGGCCAATCATTCACGCCAAAGTTTACGAGTTCCCCTGGCTTTCGAAGGGAAACTGTATCGCGTAGCGATGGTATTTTAACGCTGACCCTGGTCTCAAGATTCAAGCACAAATAATAAGTGTGTTTTGGTGGTCTCGTTCGCAGTATCGTCTAGCATCTTCGATTCTCGTTCTCACGATGTTAACGAGGCAAAAACCAGCCATATGCCCTCGACCATTTTAATTAAAACCCGCTGTGTTTTGTTCACGTCGCGTTAGCCGACGACGCACCGCGTAACTTCGTTCCTCGTTCTTCAACGTTTTTTTTCTTTTTCCACCACGCCACTCGCGACAGGCATCGGTTTTTCTTCTTGTAGAAGCTGAAAGATCGATGGCCGAACGAGTCTAATGGAGACAGTTAACTGCCGAAGGAATTCAACGGGACCTCCTTGAACCTTGCCAGCTAATTAAAAGCAACGCGAGTCTAGAGGACGTTGGTTGAATCGTCGATTGAACTCTTTCCTTTTAATCGTAAATCAGCAAATCTCAATGTCGCATTCTCCGAATAAATTTAATTCCTTTATATTTTATTAATGAATTTAACCCTTCGTGGCCATTGAAAGCGACGGATATTTTAAAAGCTGATCAAACCGTTTCGGCATAATTTTTCGAAATTACTCGAAAACCTCTCAGCCGGTTAATTGAAAGGAACGATCAAAGCTGATCGAATCGTTGATCGAAGGTTCCTTAATTGACGGAGTTCTCGTAGCCGTCACAAAGCGGAGGATTTTCATTCCCCCGAAAAAAAAATTAAAAAAAAATTCGAGAGTAGTTGATTCGTCGGCGGTGACAGCACGGAGTCCAACTAGTTCGCGAACGGACGTTAATGAAACGTCGGATAATCACTGGGCTCTCATTAGCGTGTCGCCCATTTCCGTCGCCTTGAAACTGGACCGGAAGAGACGAATGGAGCCCGTAAACAGGAAAGGATTTGCGCGTGCGAGCCTGAATGAGAAGCTCAGTCGGAGTAATTACTAGAGATGCAAGTAGAAACCACGGACAGCGTGTCAGCTTTTCGAGCGGAGCGTATAAAAAGCTTTCAACGTTGACCGGGCAAAGTAAACATCAGCTACAAACGGAAAATCCCGTTGCTATTTTTCACTTTACCCGTTCGCCATTCACAATTTCGCTCTATATGTACACAGGTCCTTCGTGGATGCTCTTTTCCGCTTGAAACAGCGAAGCAAGCACGTGCAACCACCGCAGGGGATGGCACACTTCCACGATCGCCATCCTATTTTCAAGGCCGACCGAGCCCAACCATCCTGACGACAATTTTATTTCCTCTTATCGACAGCACGTGGCGAAGATTTCTTCGTGGGTCTCTCGGTTCCCCTGCCTCTCTTGATATATCGACACTTTCGCGCTTACGTTCTGATTAATGGTCGGAAGAACGTTTTCCCATCGATTTTCGATCAGCATTTCGTTTCTTGGACTTCGTAGAAAGTTAGATGTTCTTATGGGATGAAATATAAAGGATTGATTCGGATATATGCAATTTCTGGAGGATTCAAGAACGCTACCAAATGGTACCCTGAATATTTTTCTTATTCTCTTGATTAGTAGATACCAGGTTCGTAGATGAGCTTGGACGGTTAAATACGTTAGACGCTCGTTGAACCACGAAATCGACGCGCGTCCGCTTGAAATCCGAGGTCACGCGGGGCCACGGGGTAAACGCATTATAAACGGACGATAAATCGGGACCACCGTAGATTATCCTTGTACACGGTTTGCCAGGAGAACTTCATTACCGCTTCGTTCGGTCTTGCATAAACCATTTAACTCGAACCTCCGCGGTTTCTAGGCGGAGTCGACGCCTCGTACTAAATCTGCCGCTAAGCGAGTTCCGGTACCAGCTCAGAGATTTACGTACTCCGGAGGCGACCGCTTTACTTACAACCTTCGTATCCCTCGCTCCGTGTCCCGCGAAACCACCCACCACCCCCATTTCCCAATCTTTCATTTTCACCGTGCAAACTTTCGTCGTGAAACAACGCGAAACGTCACTTTTCACGCTTATGAGACTAATGAAATCAAGCATTCCGATCTGTTGTTACGGTTGACAATGGAGTGACATGCAATTTCAGGATGTTACCTTGGCGAAAGGCTTTGTTGAACGAAGCAGACGAAGATTGATGCGCAACCCGGCGTGTCGTGAAGATCGAAACAGGGAAAATGGTGTTTTGTTTTTAACAGAGGGATTCGGAACTGACGGATGTGTTTTCTGTT